CCTGTCCTGGGATTTGAGGAGACACCCAACGGCAGGAGCACGTTCGTAGGAAAGGAGGGAGGTTTTGCTGCCACAGGGCATGTGCCTGACAGCCACAGCTTAGGCAGGACTTAGGTGTTGATGCAGCAGGTGTGCCCCATTGCTCCTTCCTGGACAGCCAGGGAGTTGCTTCTGGCATTGTGACAAGCACTTGCTGGAGAGGAGGTCTGTGCTCACCTGCAGCTAGAGAAGACTGAGGTGGCCGACGGTGTGAAAGCTGGTTCCCGTCTCTCTGTGCCCGAGTGTCTGTGAGTCAGTGACAGCAAGCAATTTTCGTTTGTCATCCTCTGCAGGGTTACCTGCAGGATTCTATGAACAGCGTTCAGGAGACATATGGGATGGTGGGTAAACCAAATACTAGGAAACCGTATCAGTCCACACCACTTGTATGCATTCATCTTTATATAAAGGACATTTATACATTACGATGTCATTACGCGAGGACACATTCTCACTTGCAAATGAGTGAGTGGGTGTCGATCCCACTGGCTCGGGGACAGCATCTGGTCTCCCTCTGAGTGTCTGACATCATTGCTTAGAAGAGTGAGTTCTTGTGACCTGATTGTGTTCACGCTTATTTAGAAATCTCCCCATGAGGGAAGAAAGGGGTCCCGAGGGACCTCAGGCCTCCTCTGCCTGCTCAGGGGGCTGCGCCTGAGCGTCCACTAGGGATGGGACCTTGACCAGGGTGCCCTGAGTCGGAATTTTGGGGTAGTGTAAACAAATACCCATAGAAATACAGAGAGCTTTTCAGTGCTGACACTTGTAAGACCCACTTCTGAAAAATAATGCGCCCATGTTGTGGACGGTGTGTGTGGGGTTCCCTTGGCTGCTGCAGCATCTGGAGGTATCTGTGGTAGAGGGACCTGTCGGAAGCATCAGTTCTCTGGTGCCCTGGGGCGCTGCCGAGGGAGGCACATCTGCTGTCCCTTCAGGAAACACCCGCAGCGCCCTGGTGCAAGGGTCACCTGTGCAGGTGCCTGGCACATGTGGGGCAGTAGGAGGGGGGTCTGGAGAGCTGGGGGAACAAGGGGCTGCATAACGGGCACACGGGTGTGCAGGGGCACCCATCACATTGCCAGCCCATGTGCCTCAGTGACCATGGCACACACCTGTGCCACCTGTGCACTGTGACCCCCACCTAAGGGCAGGCTGACTTCAGGGAGCCCCGTCTGGAAGCCTGCAGAAGCAGGCACACCAGCAGAAGGACAGGCGTGCACCCGCGGGTTCCCCACCTTGCAAAGCCGACATGTCCTTTGCTGCCTTTCTCCCTCATGTGGAGGAAATGAGAGATAGGATAGGGACAGACCCTCCACCTTCCAGCCTCCCCCGCTCAGACAGGGCTCTGTCATGGGGCGGCTCCCACTTGGGCCACCGCAGCCAGATGCCCTTTGTGACACGGCCCAGCTCCCCCGCCAGCCGCCACGCCTGTCCCCTTCCCTTCCTCACACCCAGCCGGCCTTTCCCAGCTGTCAGAGAGCTCCAGCTTTGTGGGAAGAGCTTAGGTGGCAGTCCTACTGGTGCCCCACGCTCCTCTCAGACCCCCGGCACCCGCCGGTCACTGTCCTCTGACCTGCACCTGCCTGCCATGTGCGTGGCTGCGGCTGCCTTCGGCAGTGAGCGTTGATCGGAACAAGGCTCGCTCATTCAGGGGCATCTCCTCTCCAGCTGCTGTCACTATGGTGGCGGCGTTGAGTGGCTGTCACAGAGACTGGAGGGCCCACAGAATCCAAAGTGTTTACTCTCTGGCCCATTAGAGAAAACATCAGAACAATGGTTGTCAGAGCACAGTCCCCAGAACCTCAGCATGGCTGCAGAGCTGTTAAAAATGCAGATTCGTGGGCCCCACCCCCGGTGTACTGAGTTCAGTGCTCGGTGGCGGGGAGGCCCAGCACCTGGGAGGTGCTGACGATACTGAAGCCTGAGGACCCCTCACTGTTGTAGACCAGAAGCTCCTCCAATACAGAACCCGGTTCTACGTCTGTAGACCCCTCTGCCCAGCGCCGTGCTGTGCCCACAGAGGGTGCTTGGTAAATACTTGCTGGCGTGGGCTTGGCGGTGTGAATCTTCGCCTGAGGTGTAAAATCTGGGTAAGATGCACCCAGAGGGGAGCCAGTCTGGTGAGCGCTGGAGCAGCTCCTGTGAACCACGTGTCCTAAGAGTAATTCTAACCTCAACATCACTCTGTAGGGAAAACCACTGTTTGTATCTGTACGTTGTTTTGTTTTGGAGTTTCTCCACAGTGTTTCGTAAATGTCTTGTGATACACCCTTGAAAGCTGGTATTCCTGTGAGCACTCAGAGGGTCTCTCCACAGGAGGGAGTTTGGGAGGTACCTGATGGCACTTCCGAAGGGAGAAGGGCAGCTCACGACGCCTCATGCTAAACGCACCAGGGATTGCCCAAGACCAAGCCCGCTGTGGGCCCCGAGCCTGGCATCTCAGTGGCATAGAGGCCAAACGTGGTTCCTTCCACCCTGGAGCCAGGAAGGTGGGCTGTTCGTGAAGGAGGGCTTGAGCCAAGGCCTTCGTCAGCCTCACGGAGCCAGCCAGGCCTGGGGATCCGCAGCCAGGGAGGACATGAAGGGCTGGACTGCTCGTCACGGAGGCTCACTTAGTGCCCTGCGCAGTGCACCGTGATGACGCCGAAGAAACATACGGCATCACTGTGTGACTCCCGAAGAAGACAGAAGGAAACACACACCTTCACGTCAGAAGGACATGGGCCTGTGAGTAAACTGAGGCACGGGAAGAAGAGCCAGGCCCTGCTTAAGGCTGGAGGGCCAGAGCGGCGTGTCTCCTGAGAAGATCTCTTTTAATGCAGTCGCACTCATCACTGTCTTCCTTTTTTTTAAGGAAACATTTTCACAAACCAAACAATCACGTGATTTTCTTATTCTGAGATAATGCAGGCAGAGACAATGCCATTCTCAGGCTGTGGGGCGATCTCCGTGTTTAATATGCAGTTTCTCATCTTTTAGTAGAAGTCAGACTTCTTTTATCTGTAATTAAATCCAGAATATGTTATTTTCTGATGGGCCTCATGGAGTTTTGACTTTATTGTTCTAAAAATGATTGAGAAAAGAGTTCCGAGCATCAGTTCAGTGAGCGATTCAACCGAAAACCCACTCACTGAGGAAACAGGGATCATAAAGTGCCCTTGATCTGACCTGTGGGGCTGTGCTGTCACGGGGCCCCACGCCCTCCACCCAGGCCAACCCCGTCCACTCCGTTTCCCTCCAGCTGCCACCTTTGCCAGCGACTGGCCTGCTGGTAGCTCGGGGCCTGGCACTGCCCGGCAGTCGCCTCTGACTTCGGGAGCAGCTGGTGCTGGGCAGTGTCCTGAGGGCAGCTCACATAGCTTTTCTTCCAGATTCTCTGAGTCACATCTTGTGTTAGTCCTCTGTTAGCTCGGGGCCTGGCACTGCCCGGCAGTCGCCTCTGACTTCGGGAGCAGCTGGTGCTGGGCCGTGTCCTGAGGGCAGCTCACGTAGCTTTTCTTCCAGATTCTCTGAGTCACATCTTGTGTTAGTCCTCTGCGGACCTCTGCAGGACTCTGCTGTGATGCAGTGTGCGTGGTTTTCATGAACGGTGAGGTTAAGAAACCCTTTTGGAGGAGACTCAGCTGCATCTGGTGACCGTGCTTCTCCAGGCCTCTCAGCAGGGAAGTCCCTCACAGGCCTCCAAGCTCACGCCGGGGAAGTTGGTTCCTGGGTAGGTTAAGAATCCTGCCCCTGGATAGTAGGCGCCACTCAACTCTCACGTTCTCCTCCGTCCTGACTGCCAGAGCCCCACACCGGGAGTTTGTGCTCACGTGCTCAGCATTTGTCACGCAGGTGAGGGCTGTGCTGTGTCATGTCACGTCACGTTACACACCACGTGATTTTTCTGCTTTCCTTCCACTTCATTACTTTTTTCTCAGCCTTCGTTCTGTGTTAAGCTGAGTGTTTGTATCACTGCACCTGAGTTCCCAGGGGAGCTGCTTTCAATCTCTTTTGGAGGCAGGTGGAGCATCGGTCAGCCAATGAGGTGAGCTTCTCTGTGCCCCGTCACCGAGAGCCCCTGTCCCTGGAGTCTGCTCCCCAAGGACACGCGGATAACCTAGTGCATTGACAGTAGGCTGCATGTATAGAGTCGCTGAAAAATCCCATTTGGCAGCACTTGGCAGAGAATGTGATTGGGCCGGCGTTGGTTCTGTGTTCTCCCCCTTACAATTTGCAGGTGTCCTCCAGCAAGTGAACTTCGGGATGTCACTCGAATGGGAGAAGTCAGCAGTGCCACTGTGAGAAAGAGAAGGGCGTGTCTGGGAAGGATGGATCCTCTGGTGTCCTCCATATACACCATGCGGGTGGCTCTGTCGCTTGACAGTCAGGCTCTTCAGCAGACGCTCCACAGAGAAGCTGCAGAGCGATGCCTGCAGCGTTACCGATGCGTGAATGGAGGACGGCATGGGGCAGTCTCACCCCTGGGCTTCCCTCCACGGCGTCCCCCAGGCGCTGGGCTGAAAGGCCCTTCCTGCTGGTCCGTAGCTTTCTCATGCCTCCAATACACTCATGGGGCTGTGGCTTTCTTCTAGAAACTTGTCTGGTTATCTGGTATGGGTGGGTTCAGAAGGACATCCCCAGTGGAGGACAGTGTGGCCCGGCTTCTCGGCTTGCTTCACAGACACCAGGGCTAGGAACGTCAGTCTGCGTCCGGGTCGTTTGAGTCAAGTGAGGTTAAAGGAGGGAGCCAGGAAGGTGGCTGGCTTCCTGCCTGGTGCATCTGTCTGTGTTCTAGGTGAACTATGTGGCATTAGCTCCCAGCGTCCATCCTCCCTATTACGTGGGAAGGTTCACGCTGTCTTTGGAGCAGGAGCCTCACAGCCTCCAGCCACACGCACAGGCACCGGCAAGGCGATGGTTGTGTCGAGGTGTTGCCTGTTTGTGGACAAGTAGCAGCAGCACAGACCCTGGGGTGGAGGTCACAAGAGCTGCATGCAGCCCGCGGCTCATGACCACCTGTGCACACCTGGCACCGTTGATGAGGTGGGTCATGGCCCTGCAGAGAATCCACAGAAACTCTTCCTGGACAGCCTACTGAACACTGGTTAGCGGAGAACAGGTGAAATACGGTTATTGTTTGCATCCGATCCATCCCGGAGGGTCTGCCTGGTGTCTTACCCTGAACAGTGGAACTGTGTGCATGTGTACACGTATGTGCACATACATGTGTGTCTAAGCGTGTGCGATGGTCGTTAGTAAATCAGAGTTAAATTTGATCGTGGTCTCCTTCTGGAAGCTGTCTAGATCATCCTCTTCCCTGAGCTGTAGCTGATGGTGCTTGATAACTACACCCCATCACGCGTGTTCATAGCGTGTTGCATCAGGAGGGAGCTGGCACCTACAGCACAGCCTGGATCCGGCAGGACCGAGTGTGAATCCCAGCGCCTTGGTTCACACAGGGCTTTGGACGAGTTACAAGTCTCCAAACGTCGTTTTCTCCATCGTGAAGTAGGGTCAATGCCGTCCCTGTGGGCCAGTGCAGGATCATGTTGACGGTCTCTGCAAGCTGAAGGGTGCAGGGACTTTGCCATCATCATTGCTGTTGTGCGGATCCTGTCTCACAAATTGTCTCGGGGTCCCAGGTCCCACAAGTGGACGAGAGGCTTGCTCTCTGTGAGGCCGAGCTTTCACTGACTGAAGGAACAGGAGCCGTGTTTATGCTCGGCTCTGTGAATGTGTCCCTAGTGTGGCCACGTGGCATTTCCTGTGGCCAAGGAGGAGCTGTCATTTTGGATTGTGCTACTTTTTTTGTCTTAAATCATTAGCTACCATCTTTGCTTGTCATAAAAAGTGGTGTCAGACCCCTTCACATGGGCAGAAAGGACCGCATATGGTTGGTTCCTGCTCAGAAGGGCTCAGGGCATGTTTCCCCTGGATGATTCGACAGGTTAACAACCTACTTGTCCTCAGGTTTCACCCCTGAGAACTCAGTTGTGTTCGTAGCTGAGAGGTCACGGGAGACGAGCAACATTAGATCAGGAAGGACACCCCATGACTGTCTCATCTGGAACTCTCAGAGCCACGTGCAGTGGCTCATTAAATGGCAGCCTCTGGGCCCATAGGCAAAACCTTCATTAGAAACACATAACTCTGGGTATCATTTGCCGTCACCTAATGTTCATGGTGCAGCCCAGGGGCTGCAGGGTGGTCGGTCTTCCCTGCTGAACCACCGGTGACCTTGAGGAGGCTTCTTCGTGGTCTGTTCCTCTGCAGAGCGTCCACGCCGTGCTGGGCCGGGCTGCAGGGTTTCTGCAGGGGCTCGTCGATGGGAGGCTTTCCCTGGAGCACGTGTCTGGGGTTGGGCACCCGCGGGTGCGCGTCGTCACGCTGTGTGGGCTGGGCCCCTGCATCATCCTTGCATTGACCTCAGCCCTCTCCTCGTTGTTAAGTGGTTCTTGGGTCATTTGCGCACATCAGTAATTGCAGAGGCAGATGTGCATCCTCTGAGCAGAGCGGTCTGGCTGGTTCTGTGCCTTTCATTTGCCACGTGAGGCAGCAATGATTGTAATCAGTCACTGCGGGCTCTGCCTCTCTGCCGTGACCACGCATCACTGAGTCGACGCCTGAGTGACAGGGACAGGGTCG